TTGGGAACTCCTTTATCACTCAGCTGGTTGTAGTTCAGCCTCACAAAAGCCAGGTGAGCATGGTTGTCAAAGTAGTTTCTGAAAAAAGACAATAATAAAGATTCTTAGTGGGAATAATCAACTTTGGGACAATGCGTGCACCGTATACTTGCTTTGGGATGTCATCAATACGGTTCCTATCCAAGAAAAGCTGCACGAGGCTGGTTGGTATACTAGTAGGCATCTTCTTCAGCGTGTTATGAGCCAGGTTGAGCTGCACCAGGTTCGTAAGGCCCTTAAAGCTGTTCTTACCCAGGCCACTGTCACTCAGCTGACAGAAAAGACATCACATATTTGCTCCACAAACGCTAGAGATTTAGTTCTCCATACATGTCTAAATAGCACAGTGTTGTAACAGTGAGGTTCACCTGGTTGTGATACAGATCGAGCATAGTCAGGCTCCCCATGTTGTTGAAGGCCCCAGGTGGGATCTTGGAAATACGATTCCTACTAAGGCGGAGCTGTTCCAGAGTTTCTGGGAGGCCTGAAGGGACTTCATTAAGCTGGTTTCGTTGGGCGTAGAGATACAGAAGTGCTGGAAGCTTTTCAAACACCTGCGTGAGAGATAGATGCAAAGCAACCGTAGTAAAGTGATTCTACTTCTTTAAATCCTGAGCATTTATAGAGGTGAACTCCCTGACCTGCTTATCTATCTGATGAATACGGTTGTTTGCTAGATTGATCCAGCGGACCTCAGAGGCGTTGAGGAAGGGCTCCGAGGTTATCTCAGAGATGTAATTGTTCTGGAGATACAGGTAGTGAGTCCTGGATGGGATTGCTGGGATTACACGAATGTTCCGGTTCTCGCAGTTGAGCGCATTCGGGTAGCTTGGGGCGCAAAAACACTCCCGGGGGCAGTCAGGAAAGATGGAAGGTGGGCCCAGGATGGGTGGGGGGAAATCTGTTGGTTCCTTGGGCTCAGGCTGGGGTGGTACAGTTGGGAGACGAGCAGGAGGCTTTCTGGGGGTAGCTGGGCGCCTGGTGGGCTTCTTTGGCCGAGGCCTCTGTGTGAACACTGCCCCCAGTAGGAGGAGCAGAGTCAGTGCAGACAGGAGTCTTGCACCAGCCTTCATTGTCCTAGGAAAAGCATAAAGTGTAAGTAGTGATTTCTACTGACTCTGCAGTAATCAAAGTGAAAGGCATTAAGTTAAGGAAGAAAGATGCTTCAAAAAAAACAAAAAGAAAAACTAAATAGTTTAATTCAGTACAATATGTCCTTTTGTGTCTGTGAAGGTTCTCAGTCATCCAGGTCATTGTAGTCTAAGGAGCTTGGAAAGAAAAGTGTCTGGACTTCTTTAAGTTGCTTGAAGAC